AACCGTGGGCCTGTTTCAGACTTGGGCGGCGTCGTGCGCGCCAACTAGAGGCTTTGCCGGGTGGCTTCGCTTGCTTAGCTTGTTATCGCTCCCTTCCCCGTTAGGAGGTGCAGCTTGCATCTCTGGCGTCGTCCAGGCGGTGTAAAACGAAACAGAGCCACTTTTATGCTCTCGCCGTGTCTTGGGAAAAACAATCCCAATGTCCGACACTTCTGCCGCACCTATGCTCAAACGCGCCAGCTCGGTCAAACGCTTCGGCCACGTAGAACAAGCAATTTCTAGCAGGTTCCAAAGCTGTAGATAAGGCTGACCGGCGTGGCTTGATGCGCGCCTTGCTATTGCGTCTTCACTCACCAGCTACCGCATCCTTCGACGCAGATAATGCGCTCCCCCCGCTAAGATCTCCAATTTCCGCCATAATCTCCCAAAGGGTCCAGCTAATGTCGGTTCATGATGCGGTCAGCAGAGTTCATGACGTAGACCGATAGTCGGCAAGCACGTATTGCACATGTAAGATTGACGGCCATGCACTGTGTCGAGCGAATGCGAGTGATCAAGTGTAGCCTTGGATAGCGTTTCAGATTAACATGCCGGCGAATTCCGCTACACTGTGATATGTAGCCCTGATTGCGACGCAGCCTTAGCATCCGTCATGTGCTACCAGAGCCCGTCCTTGAACTTTGTACCCCGCCAAGTACCTCCTCCTCCACTAGTAAAGCTTCGTATGACACCCCTTCGAATCACATTCTTGCAGCGCAACCGGGAACATGCGTTTGTGCGAAATTCGCCGTGAGCAGCAGCGGGGTGCGGGGATCTTCTGAGGCTGTTTGCCCATACTCCTATTTTTAGGCCCCGCCCTCTCTCGCCACATCGCATGGTAACCGATGTGGCTATTGTGGATACATTGTTCTTCCTCCATCGCAACCTCTGACCTCGCCGTTCGACCTGCGACGTTCAGTTTGGCTTCGGGGATTTGCCGCACTAGTTGGCCTGATCTACCCCAGAGTCGTATTGCCCGCCGCGTGGGTCGGATACGAGCTGATGCGCGTTGGGTAAGCGGCCTTCGTCCCGACCCGGCATGTAGTTGGGAGGCGCGGCTCCGTCTGCTTCTGGCGCTTTTTCGCATCGCTGTGCTCAATTTTTGAAATGCTTTATGCTGATATTTGGGTGGGTGCCAGCATCTAAAGAATTCCTCGAAGCCGACGCCGTGTGAAAACCGCTCTGCTCGTATAGCCAGAGCGTTGCGCTAACCCAATGTCTTGCCCAAAAACTGATTGAGCTCCTCCTGCAGCGGTAGCACGATATTCTCGACTGCAGATTGGAGGCAGTCGGCATTCTGTAAGCTAGCCATGGGACTGCTGCAATACGCAATAGCACTTTGAAACGCAGCAGACATCTCCTCAGCCTCTTTGCGCGACCAAGTGTGCACTAACGTAAGCAGTTTCCACTCTTCTGGCACTGGTGCGTTGACGACTCCGTCATCGATCTCAGATTTCTGGTATTTCTCAGCAGTAGTGCCGAAATAAAGCTCGAGTAATGCTACAGCCAGGGCGAGTAGTATGTTATTCTCGAAAGTCATTGGCTTCGGTTTCTTCTCTCCGTCCTTTGGAATATCGAACAGGCTTGGGGCGAGATATGGACGGGTGACATCAATCGGGCGAGTGGGATCTGATGATTGGTGGAAGAGGATGTCTTTCGCTGTCCATTTGCTGGCAAGCCATGGTGTTGAGTTCAGGTAGAGTATGCTAGACGCCAAAGTCAAGGCTAAGCCATGCCTCTGCTTTTTGCTCAGCTTAGACTTCCTTCCGTTTACTACTGGCGGGCGCTCCAGTAGGGTCTCGAGCGATATCAGTTCTGTACTGGGAATGTACGCGTCTGCGCTGTCAACTGAGTAGGCGCCTCGTAGTTTGCTCTTGCTGTTCAATGAGAAGCCGATAGTCGAAGACGTCTTGTGTAGTTGCTGGATCGATGCACACAAGTCGCTGACTTCTTCATAAGAAGGTAAGGAACTTGTTCCGGGATCTAAGACTGCGTATGGAGGAAGCGATCCGAAGCTGACGCTCTTTGTTACCCTGGGTTTGGGAGAGGGCATCGGTGTGAGACAGCCTTCCTCTTCTTCGTCGTCCACATGGAATTCAGCAGCCTGAAACAACCAGGGCGAGCCATGGCTATCCGATGAGATGGTCGAAAAAGAAACGTTGAAACTTGTTTTCGCCGAATTGTACATTTTGTGATGTTTTGACGCGAATACGCTCTCGCGGGGCTCAAGCTGCAGGCTCGCCGTATGAGAAGACTTGCAGGCGCAGGACCAGCACAAGTTGAGCGACTCATGTAGGATCTTGGCATATCGCTGTAGCTTCTGCAAGCGCGTGGCATATGACGGTTTTGTGGCTTTGTGAAATGTCTCTATCTTCTCGCTCTTTTCGGTGAATCTTTCCAGTTGTCGATTGCATTCGTCGAGTTCATCGAGAAGACCCTTGACGCTCTTCTTATTCATAGCGAATCTCACGCGCTTGCCAAATTCGAATGTGTCGTCAGCCTTCTTGGGGTGCGCGGCGAGAATGGCTTCGAGATCATTCCGGGTGAGCTCAGCCGCTTTGTCCAAATCCAGTTTGTTTGCAATCTTCGTCATGATTCTTGCAATTTCCGCCATGGTATTCTGGTAGGATTTGTACGTGTTTTGGAGCTTCTCCTGAAGCGCCGTTTCCTTGCTCTTCCATAGCTCCAGCGAAGCTCTAGGATCAGTTGACATCTTCAGCCATTCGGCATCTGTCGTGATGGATCCGAAGAGAATCTGGATGGTTTGATTGAATTGGTCATGCTGAGCTCCTAGCTTTCTGATAAGTTTGGGAAGTTCCTTGTCCCATTTCAAGAAGCCCTTGATAGGGTCGAGTCCTTCCTTATAGGAGGTTATCGCTAGTACGCAGTTAGCCCGTTGTCAAGCAGGCACCTATCACCCGCTTCCAAGGCGCAAGGCAGTCTACCTTGTATGATCAGCGGTAGAGCGCCAAGTACGAGGCCAGCGACCTCAATGCCGCTCATCGTCGCGATTGCCCGTTCTTCGAATCAATGTCGATGTCGCGTGTCATTGGTGGGCGACGGAAGGAACGAGGGCCGAGCGGGGTTCAGGGCTGTCAGGCAATCACGCGAAGAACACGACTCCCAGTTAAAGCATGATGACTGCGTTGCGAGCGATAAGGCAGAGGAGACATGAGTGTCTCATTTCGCGAGCAACAAGAGTTTACGACAGCAGAAGGTAACACTGCCCGCGAGGCGCCTGAACTGCGCCCCCACTATCCTGAAAGATCCTAGCATCGCAGCCTTCAGGCTGCACGCTGACAACACGAGTGCTGACTAACCGCCTACCATCCCATTGCAGTCCAGGTTATAGTAACAAGAGCATCTGCCTGCCGTCCTTTCGTCGGCATCAACGACTCAGTTGGTCTGGGCTACCAGTAGCTCAGCGCATCAACAACCACTCCAGCGTTGGGGTCGTGCGATCGCCGCCGCACTTCAAGGCTCCCCTCGCTTGCGCCTGCTCCGACATGCCGAGCGCCCATAATGTCGACTCTTAGGCTTGCGACAGCTTCCAACGTACGCGCTTTCCAGATACTGACCGAAGCTCTTAACGCAAGCAACGGGAAGTGGTCACGATGGATTGAAAGCGAAACACTCGACGATGAGGTCGGAAGATTCAGAGTGTGGGCTGGCAATTTGGGAGCGTTGCAGAAAGGCCACAGCTCGCTCGACTACAGACTGCGCGGATCCCCCGTTTTATTCAGTAGCGCCCTCAGACTACTGAATGAGCTTGAGCAGAATCTGAATGAAACATACGCTATCGTTTCTGAGGCGCGCCTGCCTTACGAACAGCAAACGCCATCGGAGGGTTCTGACGATGATAGCGACCGTGGTTCGTCCAGCGAGGAAGAGGAACACGACTCTGACAGCGACGAGCCTAGAAGCGAGTTGCGGATGAGATATGAAGAAATCGTGGATATCATCGACAACCTCTACAAGCTCAGCGTCCGCATCCGGACACCGACAGTACGCTCAAGATCGCTCAAAGCCTCTGCCTACACGCCAGTGGATCCAGAAACTGGTGTGGATATCCTCGGTGTGTACGCTGATCTGGATCGAAAGCATGTTCGAGAGCTGCTCTCGCAGCTACGGAAGACGCATCCTGCACAGAATGAGGAAGATCAGGACTTCTTGACTGAGCGGTTGAGCTCTTCGATCACATTGCGCAGGCGGCATTTCAAGTATTGGAAGCGTCGTAAGTTCGACAACTAACATTGCTGCATCTTGCACACTCTGACTATGGTAGATCGTGATAAGTTGGGCGCTTCCGCAGATTCCGAAGACATAGCAGATGCTGGCAAACCTACAGCGAATGAAGCGCCAGCTCCGATGCGTCATGACACTCTTGAAGCTCACCCAGTACGTACTTAGCTGTCTCCTAACACACTCTTTCGAACGTGGTCTAACTTCGGTCTTAGCCTATACCAACGATCAATACCCCAAAGCCGACGCCGAGTCAAAAGACTGGGAAAACCTTGCTATCTGGTACGGAGGCGACGCATCATCATCAATCTCTAGATGATATCGTGGACACCAAATCCGTGACGAGCTACGCAGTCACCGTGAAAGATTTAGATGGAAAAGGAATCGATCTACCGCCCCCTCCAAAGGCTGCTACTTGCGACAAAGACTTCGAGTGCCCATACTGTTGGATCGTCTGCCCAGCACGATATGGCAAAGGCCGAGCATGGAAGACACATCTGCTACAAGACCTCCAGCCGTACATTTGTACACACCGAGACTGCGAGAGTTCCGAACTACTCTTCCGCAGTCGTCGGGAGTGGGCAGAGCACGAAGCGACTCATCGCAAGCTTTGGCGCTGCCCTGAACATGTAAACGCCTTGTACAACACCCAAGCTGGTCTGGAAAATCATCTTCGGCAAGAACATATTGGTAGCTTCCCTGACGATCAGATAGCTATCATGGCTAAGATCGGAGAGACCATAGCCGCGGACTCGCGGGAGAAGTGTCCGATTTGCTTTGTGCCCACGACCACTAACGGCTTGGGCGATTTGCAGAGCCACATTGCTAATCATCTGGAACGTCTGGCTACTTTCGCCTTGCCGCATGGCAGGGAAGACGATGAAGACGGTGCTAGTAGCGTTGCAAGCCGTGGGAGCTCCAATTCTCAGTCGTTACCCGAGTCGATACCTACCGGTTCAAGCAATGAGATGGTCGCACTCAACCGAGATCTCGAAACTGAGCAGTCATTTGAGACGGAGTTCAATGAGGAAGACCATCTACTGATGCAGTTCAGGGATGAGAACTTGCCATGGAAGGAGATCGTAGCGCGCTTTCAGGAAACCTTCAGCAGGCAGTACGATATACCAACAATGCAGAGGCGCCGTAAGCAACTGGTGGATCTGGCAAACAAGCAATCTCTTGAGTTCGAGTTCAGTGAGAAAGACCGACTACTGCTACAACTCAAAGACAAAGAGCACATGCCGTGGAAGGACATTGCAGTGCGCTTTTCAGAAGTCTTTGGCACTGATTACCGAAACCGAATACCCGCACTCCAGATGCGTATGAAGCGAGTAAGGGAACGGAAACTCGAGCAGTATCTTGCGTCTGGACTCAGTGGGGAAGACCGCCTGCTACTGCAACTCAGCGCCAAAGATCGCATGCCTTGGGAGGAGATTCAAGCGCTGTTCCGGAAAGCCTTTGGCAAGGAGTACGAAATAACCGCACTCGAGTCTCGGGTGCAGCAACTTTATGAAGGAATGAATAAGCAGTCACTCCTACCAACCGAGACCAGCCGAGGTCTGCTGTCCGCGGAAATACTACAGCAACTTCCAGACGAAAGTCAAAATCGAATGGCAGTGTTCTCAAATCAAGTGGACGACCTGGACGACTCGGAAGACGAGCAACTCGAGAATGAACAGCCTGATGAAAACATATTACCTGAGCACCAGAAACATCTGGAAGAACGGGAAGCGTTTAGACAACACGTCTCATCGTTACCAGGAGTTCTATCGGTTCGGTTTTATCGCGGTTATGGCTCATGGACTGGCCTTATCACGTTCGCCGATGATCTGGTGGGCGAACAAGCAACTGCGCTGTTTGACGCTCAGCAATTCCCCAACGTTGTGTTCAAGAGTAAAAGGAACAAAAGCAAGTGGACATTCACCAGAATCACTGGTACGAGCAGTAAGTCGATGTGTAGATGAGATCTACGAAAGCTTGCTATATAATCGGCATACTGACGAACTTTCGCTATAGAGAAGGACGGCTCCTTCGTTCGCCAGTCAACTGTGGATACACAAACCACTGAAGAAGCTGAGATTCTTCCACCCGGATCTGAAACGTATGACGAAGAACATGAAGATCCAAGCAAACAAACAATCATCACAACTGCAGAGATCCCTACGCTACGCTCGCTTTACCAGTCCAGGCGGCTGTTGCAGCGCGATCAGAGCTTTGCGCCAAACGATGCTTACAATCAGATGATCTCGTTCTGTCATTACGACCTAACGAGATTGAGGGTGGATGCCATCGTCAGCAATGCTTCAGGTAACTTCCAAGCCAATCCTGATCCAGATTCTCTGCATCACTCTATCTATAAAGCCGGCGGTTCAGGTCTCAGAGAAGAGGCGAGATCGAAAGCCAAGGTCAAAGTGGGCCAGGTCGAGCTCACACACGGCCACAATCTTCCAAGCTCATGGGTAATTCATGCAGCTGCACCAGGATATACAGGCCGCAAAGGGGTTGGCCAATTCAACGTTCTTTCCGAGTGCTATCGGAGTGCCATGAGAATGGCGGCTAACTACGAGTTCAAAACAATCGCCTTTCCTTGCCTGGGCACTGGGGGTTGCATGTTCCCTGCACGTGTCGCCGCACGCATAGCGCTGCAAGAGATCAGGGAATACCTGGATTCACATCCTACACATCGACCCGAGCGAATCATCTTCTGCGTACGGGCAGCAGTCGATGAGAAGGCGTATACCGACTTTCTACCAGTATTCTTCCCACCCACACATGGGGACTTGGACAGAGCCAGAACTTCAGACTGGTCCGCGAATCGTGCTGCGCTGGCAGCTCAGGTACTAGAGGCACGTACGCAACTTCAAAATGCATTGACTGCAATCACTGTTACCTACGACTTTGGCACGCAAAGTACGGTTTGTGCTCACGACATGCGTAGGATCGACTCTACGCTGAGTTCGATCCGCAAATATCTCTTAGGGTCGAAAGAGCTCAAGCGCAGTCTGGGCGATCTCAACTTACTATGTTCCGTCATTCTTACGGCATGTGCTGACATTATGGACATGGCCGAGCAAGCACGTAAACAGGGCCGTGCTGGAAATACGCAGTCTATCTGGACCGAAGCCAACACCGATATACGAGCCAAGCATGGATTTGAGCTTACGAGTGTCTTTGACTACAGCTGGATCTTCGCCAACAGCTTAGAAGAGGTCCTGATACTTGGCAAAGCAGAACCAGATGCGATGGGAAGAGCGCGTCAGATCTTGGAGACCTATGGTGTCAAGCAGAAGGGCCAAGATGCCGAAGGTATCCGCGACCACCTGGATGAGGTGCTGTACGTGCGTGAGGCTGAACGGCCTACCCCCAAAATTCGCGGACTCATCCAAATTCATCAAATACCCCCCGTAGCGAGGCTCTACATACTGGGCCAACTGGAAGCGAAGCCCACCATGGCAAAACCGTCCACGCTATTCAACCACACTGTCTGCTTACTGAGAGAGGACATCACGAGGCTGGAAGTTGACATCGTGGTAAACTCAACCGATCCAAGCTTCTCCGGCATGGGCACTCTAGACCGCAGCATCTTCAAGAAAGGAGGAGATGAACTGCGCTCGGAAGTCTCAACCTTCGGCAAATGCGAAGAAGGCGACGTCAAAGCAACTGCTGGATACCTACTCCCAGCCAAACATATCCTCCATGTCGTTCCGCCTGGAGTGTTTAGGAGCGATACCAAGAACATATTGAGGAACATCTACCGGGCAATTCTGCATGATGCAGTACTCATGAGGGCGACTTCAATTGCGATACCGAGTATCGGAACCGGCATGCGGAATTACCCGCGGCGCGACTGCGCGTCGCTGGCGATGGAGGAAGTGAAACGCTTTCTGGAATCTGCTGAGCCGGGTAATGGACTTGATAAGATTATATTCGTTGTCTTCTCTTCCAATGACGAGTTCGTCTACAAGAGCCTCTTGCCGGTCTACTTTCCGCCAACGAAAGGTAATACGTCGCCTACTATCTTGGCGGGCACACCGCGCAACGACCAGTCGCAAGAGTTGGACATCACGTCCGAGCTCAACGAAGCCTCTACGATCTCATCCACGCCTTACATACCGTGGAGCACCAAGTCAGACGATATACGGCAGAGGGATGTGGAGCAGCACCTTACTGAAGCTGAAGAAAGCTCTTCTTTGTCATTACCAGCTGCCACGGATCAGCCTTCCCAAACGACCTCTGGAGAAAAGACCTCTCGCAGGGCACGATTTGGCAAACAGCCAGTAACACTGCGGCCCTGGAATGACGACGAAGCCAAGACGTTGATGGACTTCGAGCTACATGTCGGAACTTGCAAAGTGTGCGAGAACGGTCTTTATGAGAGAACCCACAAGCTCTGTAAGCCCGGCTTCCAGTTCGCCCAAACTGTCCTGCAGCGAACAGAGATGTCTGAAGATGCACTTGTGTACAGCAAAGCCGACGAGCAGGGTTCAAGAGAACAGCTGGAGATACCAGTGGAGCGATTACCTAGCTCGATGCTGTTACTCTCCACCGTTGCAAAAGGCGGACGTTATATGCCTGAGAATGCATCTGCTCAAGCCGAACAGCCTGACACGACAGACTCTGATACGCCTGCATCGGAGCACCCTTCGGCACCAAACGACCCGGACAATAGTTCGCAGGTTACAGAACTACCAGCGGTAGTCCGAGTGGAAGTCTTGTCCCCACGCACCGATACTGGAGACTGGTTCTACTCATGGGTTCGAGTTTTCAGGAGCAAAATCGAGATGTACTCTGGGGATTATGATCCTGATCCATACGGAGAATCTACTGGACATATGCCGTATGCGTCCATAGATTTTACCGATATCACCACAAACGTGGACGGCGGCAAAGGCACGATTGTGTCTTTGTGGACAGTACCGCGAGGACCAGACCAGGGAGAAACATGGCATTTCCGTAGCTCTGGAGTTGCTGATTCAATCGCGCTTCTCGAACTTTTCAAAAGAGCTATCAATCGTGGGCGTCAGGAGCGGGAGAAGAAGATGACAGCGGAGGTTGAGGAGACAACGGGCCCGGAAGCAACGATTGCCGCGGAAATCGAACGGCATAACCTTGCATTTCCATCTGCTGGGGTTAACAAGCCCAATGCTGCGAAGCTCGACGATCAAGTCCAGGAAGATGACAAGACGGCCCACTATCCGGAAGCCAAGGATGCGAATGTTGTTGCACCAGATGCGGGGCCACGTGCTGTGATCCGTGTCGAGGCTCTCGCTTCGCGCGGAGCTTCCGACTGGACGAACGCCATTCTATACGTCTATGAGGGCAAGATTATCGTGGAAGTCGAGAAGAACGATGGTCCAGACAAGCCATATGCGACAATAGACCTCACGAATGGTATTGTACACCTTGGTCGCGACAGTGGTAACGGTGAAATGGGCTATATGGATTGGGCATGTTTACAGGTGACAAGAGATGGAGAATGGGCAAGACCATCGTTGTTACCAACGGAGACATGGTATTTTCGCAGCCATGGAGAGTCTGATACAGACGCAATGTTTCATGTCCTTCAGGAAGCCGTTGATCGCAATAGGAAAGCGGAGCAGAAAACAGCGTCTACTGAGGTCGAAGAAACGACAAGCCCGGGACCAACGACTGCGCCAATCGCACAGCGCGAGGAAACTGGGGAAGCTTTCGATGCATCATCTTATCCTGAATGGAACCAAAGGTTGCGCAATATCAAAGATCAGGCAGATGACAAACATCGCATCAGAGAAGAAACCGTTCCAGCATACGACGCGCCAGGAGATACTACATCCAACTCGGGCGACGCATCAGCGGATTCGGAGCCAGATTCAAGACAGCCTGGTCTAGACGCACGCATCCTTGCCTATCTCGACAATGATTTCAATACCCGACCTGGCTCGTACATAGGTCAGAACTTCAAGGAGATCGCTTCTGCCCTCGAACACTGGCACCATACATCCATCGCTCATGCTCTGCGCAGGCTAGCTGAAGAAGGAAAAGTTCACAACACTGTTGATGCCGAGACATGGGTCATCTCACAACCTATGTCTTGGGATCATAAGTATCGTCCAAAAGAACCACCGGAGAAGCCAAAAGGTGATCTAACTGATCGAATTTTGCTATGTTTGGATCGTTTAGGCGGCCTGCACAAGTTTGTCACCATGCATGATGAGATTCTGGCTGACACTGGTGAATTGCGGCTTGCGCTTCGGGATCTAGTAGCCAACGGGCTCGTTCTTGGTGAGGCTAGCGGACAGATGTGGGGTCTCACCGATGCGGGTGGAACAAGAGTACTTGAGTTACAGGCGAACTCGCTAGAAGTAGGACAAGAGATGGCTCAAGACCCCGGGTCAACTCCCCTTTTTGGTCAACCTCTCCTTCCCCAAGAACCTGCTAAGGAGCGTCTCAATTCCATGGAACAGCCTCTATCGGATGAGAGCAACACTGGCCCTGAAGAGCGCGACGATTACAAACCTCTGCCAGAGGATGATCTTAGTCATGATGAACACACATCAAACGATCTCTCCGATCGTGCTTTGTCTTACCTGAGAAGCTTGTCTGGAGTGAGCGAAAACATATCAAATCTCGCGACTACATTTGGTACTCCGGTCGCTGAGCTTCAATCAGTGCTTGAACAGTTGGGCTCTGATGGGTTGGTAGAGATGGCTGAAAATGAGTCTACTTGGACAGCGACACCCTTGTCGAAGCGCGAATCGGGCAAGCGCCAGTCTCAGACTACTGGGGACCCGGATGAAGCCAAAGAACATTACCCACTAGGTAACGTGACAGAAGAAATGGCCGAAAAGTTCCACAAGAAATACCAGTTACCGGTGGATCGGGATGTATTCACTCGTGGTGTCCTCGCGCTTCAATCGCAAGCTGACCTACATCCATCTCTCGGTTCCACACGTGACTCCGACGACGAGATTCTCGATCCTAGCCTCGCTTCAACTAGAATGCCAGAGCAAGAGAGTACATCTTCGAAACAGGAGCTTTCAACACAAGAATATGCCAGCACAAAACAAGCTGGCAGCTGGAGAGATGGGAGAGGCGCGAAGGGACGAGAACGAACCAAGTCTGGTAGAGCACTGACAGATGATATCGAAGAAGAGATGGAACCAGGCACAGCGAGTAGGTTGAGACGAATGAAGAGTGCAAGGGAAAGGAAGCACAACGCATCGAGCAAGGCAAAGAAGGACGACATTGATGACGAGTTGGAGGACTACGATGGACAGGAGGAAGATTTTGTGGATGATGCGGCTGCGCATTCGATGCTGGATTAGGCAATGAGGTTACTAGCTGGAGTGAGGTGTATGAGGAAGGCGCGATCAAGCTATTCTGAATGATGACATCATTCCATTCCACATCAATGCGCAGTAGGACTGAAGCATTCCAAACGTAGTACTGATGTGACAGCTCCCTCAACCAACGCGGCATGTCCACCAACCATAGCCGTCAATCCTCAACATCACTCCTCACAAACAGCAACACCCGCCTCCCCCTCCGCAATAGCCCCCATGAAATCCCCCACATCCTCCCCGCGCTCACCAAGCACAAACTCCAACGTCGCCACCCAGGTCTCCCCATTATTCGTGAACCAATCATACTCTGGACACAAGCCCCTCACGTAGCCCTCCACCATGCCCTTGAGCGGCGCATGTTCCTTCAAGTAAAGTATCTGAGCCGGATCAAGCTTCATATAGTCCTCGATAACGTAGTAATGTGGGATATCGTCGCCCCAGCCTTCAGCACCGACTTCATGGGAGGGGTGGAGCGAGTATTTGGATGCGGCGTAGCGGGAGGTGTATGTGGGTGTGTTGTTGAAGTGGGTGGAGAGAGGGTTTGGCGTGAAAGGGTTGAAGGCTTGGGGCGCGGTGGGTGGGTAGTTGAGGTGGATGTTGAAGAGGAGGGAGTGTTCGTTGCCTGGATGTCGTTTCTTGAACTTTCGGGCGATGGTGCCGTTGGAGGGGCAGACGTTGCGTTGTACGACTTCGCGGATGACGGCGTGCACGTCGGCGATCTCGGCGAGTTCCCAGGTGCTCCAGTTGTGGAGGAGGGCTGCGCGCTTGAGTAGGACGAGGCGGGACGCGCGGGCTTCACGTGGGTGGTCGCTGTTGTGGAAGGCGCGGGAGTAGAGCCAGATTCTATAGATGGCTCGTCTCACGAGATAGCGCTCGTCTGTTGTCAAGAGACGCCGGCTTTCGAAGTTGTGCTTCCACTTTTTGAACGGGTAGATGTCGCACCATTTCTCAGCCGTGCGCCCGTGCTGCACGATTTGTTTGAGCAGCGCGAGAGAGAAGGGAACGGAGCGGACGATGTGTGCAGGCTGGCTTTTGTTGTGGGTCAGGAGTTGAGTGAGGTCTTCTAGCGGACCGAATTGCGTTTCGGCGGCCTTTTCGAGTATGGGTAGTTTCTGGGAGGAAGAATAGATGTTGCGGAAACGGCGGCAGGTGGCAGATAGAGCTGTCACGTCGTTGACTGAACGGCATGATAGGTACACCTGCACCACAAGCTCCGTTGCGAGATCTTCGAACAGCATCTTGAAGGCGGTTGTAGGGTAGGAGAGCGATTTGGTAGCTGCATTTCCGGTCAATAAGAGACCCACGTGATGAATGCCGTATAGCACGATAGTATGAATGGAACTCACCTGTGATCTTTCAAGTCTACGCGTGTCTTCAGCCCGCGTTAGGTGCCGAGTTGTCTCTTGTGATAATGATGCGAATTTCGAATCAACCTCTTCCTATCTTCACTATCCGTCGACCTCAGCCTCGTATGTCGATCTATCGATCTAATCGGTGCGTAGCTATCTCGCCTCTGCACCGACACGTATCGCGTGGTTCAAACAAATCGGACCCCTCCGTTGGGGCTATAGGTAGAAAACGCGACGACATTCTGGAAAGACATGGTGCAAGTCAATGCAAGCTCTGGCGAGCTGTCTCTAGAATGGAAAGTCATCGTTAGTGGTTGGAGAGAGGGAAAGGAGTCACCAGTCGTGACGAGCGTGGACGTGATGGATGCCGCCAAGGGGGCTAACCCGGATTGTGGGGGCCAATCGGCGTGGAGACGGGAGAGCACCGATGGCGTCAATGAGCAGCGCCAGGCATGCCGCACGAAGATGCGCCTGTCTTCACAACATGCAATTGCACGTCCAATGCCACAGGAGAACGAGCGCACAATGCAGCACTCCACAGACACCGCACCCTTCCAGCTATCCCCGCTCCTTCGCCTCCCAATCGAACTCCGCCGCCTAATCTACAGCCACGTCCTCCCCCACACCACCACCTTCGAAGTGCGTTTCCAGCACCCTCCCGACCCACCCCCAAAGTCCGAATACAATCTGACCTTTGTGCGGCAGAAGAACGGCGACGGGGGCTGGCGCATGCAACGCACACTACCACGCACAGAGCGCGAGACAGGCAACGACATAGTCTGGCGGCGCGGGCACACGAGCCTCCTCGCCGTGTCGCGACACGTCCACGAAGAAGCTGCAGACATGCTATACGGAGACAGTACCTTTGTGATTGACGTGACATTCGACGCGATCAACTTTCGGTATCGATGGCGCACGGCGAATAATCTCACGCCGAACCGGACGTATCCGTTCTTGGATCACTTCTCGCAGAGGAATCTGCTTAGGATCAGGAATTATGTTGTTAATGTTGAGTCTGTGGATGATTATACGGGGATGATCAAGTATAATTGCGGGGGTAGAGGCTTGCCGGCTGGTATCAAGAGTAATGTAGGGGAGCTGGTTGATCTGTTGGCTGTTGCGCCGCAGTTATATCGGCTGCAGGTGCATCTTATAGATGGCGCGATTAGTCGTGTGAGGTTTCCCAGTGGACGGGTACATCGTGTGCAGGACGAGAGTAACTATGCGCAGACACAGCTAGTGCTTGATCCTTTTAGGGCTGTATATAGAGTCAGACAGGCGGTTGTTAGTGGTGTTGATGATGAGTATAAAGAAGTCTTGGAGAAGAGCATGACTGCTGACAGGACACACTGATATCGCCAAAGGATAAGGAGTACTTGGGTTAACGGTCGCTCGCAATGAGCTACCCATTAAACGATAGCTTTTGGGTATATCGCTATACATACATACGGGCCTGTACCCAGCCCAGAATCGACGCCAATCTAAATAAGACGATGCATTCCATAAACGCCATTTTTCCTTCCATCGAAACATGGCAAACAGTTTTACGCGAACAGCACATTGTCGCTGAGCGGGTCCTTCTCTTTCCTGACTCCACCGTGCGATGTCAACCCCAGGTCCTGGTGCTTGAGCAGGGTATCCCTCTGCGCGTCGGTCCTCTTGTTGAACCTGCCGGCCTTTGATTTCCTCAAGTCGGAACGGATCTGGTTGGGCGAAACGAACTCCTTGTTTTCGTAGATGATAGGACCTCCGAAGCTGGATTCCTGGATAACGATGGGAGTGAGCACGAAACGGGGACCGATTTCAACTAGGTTGACATCGAATTCGCTTCCCTTCTTCTTCTTGGGCGCCTCATCGACGTCCATCTCCTCGCCATCGGCAGGCTTTTTCTTGCTAGTCTCGCTCTCGTTGATTTGGAACACGCGGATCCAAATCTTGCCGTCTGCAACTGTGAAACCCATGACGTGGTCTACGAAAGGCTTGACTTTTCGGCTCGTCTTGGGGACGCCGAAAATCTGGGTAAAGAGCTCCTTGATCACGCGGAGATGAGCCTGCTTGTCGAAGGCGGCGTCGAAGGAGAGCACTGGTCGCGATCCTTTCAGGCAGTTGCCAATGAAGTTGAGCTCTTCCATGGTGTGCAAGTTTTGCAGGTGCATCTTTACAGTAGGACCGTTTGGTGGCTTGGACATCCAGCAATAAAGATCCTTGCCCTTACGAGCTTCGAAGAAGAGGACATTGTTGCAGTTGTAAAGTTCTGCTAGTTCGTTGAGTTGGTAAAGCTTGGTCTTGGTGTCAAGTTTGGCTTCTTTCCGGCTATGGGGCCTTTCAAGATATTAGTAAACGAAGTTGTCTGATCGCGCAAACCACTCACATCAACGAGTACAAGTCCTGTAGCAAGTGTCGGTGACGGAAAGTAACACCTCTTGAACTCTGACAATCATCAGCATGGGTGTCGGTTTGCGCCGCGCGTGAAATCGTACCAGAATAAGGACACGCTGCTTGTTTCTCTGCACGCCCGTCTCCTTCTCCTCCTTCTCCGCGCCGGACAGGGTCTTGTATACGGAAGCCATGGTGATTTCAGGCGGTTGTTGCTGCGCTCGTCGGGGTGGATGCGCCTCTGCAAAAAAGTTCGAGAATTGATGCCGCCCAGAGTTTTAGCGCGATCTACGCTCGGGCCGCGCTACGACCGAAGGAGCTAGAGCGGATGGAGTCTTCGCGGCATGGTCGCGCCTTCCGTCACCGTCGTGGTGAGGCTTCATCCAATGGGCGTTTGCAGCCCCAACATTCTGCCCTGCTCGCTTTTGTGCCTGCGTGTTGGCATTGTCGCGTGCACGAGAGACTCGATGGAGATGGCGATTTATACAGAGTCAGCCACCGGATGGAGAGGAAATGAGATGCGCACGTCCGCCGTGGTCCAGAGGCTCGTGGTAGATTAGCCGAAGCTGGCAACGCCTCAACCCGGCACGCGGAGCAGCGACGAGCTGTAGGTGCTGAGAAGGGAAATAAGAAATGCTCAGGCGGCGGCAGCGAGTAGCAGCAGAGTGCCGGAATCGAGGACACTCAGGCAGACCGACACAGACGAGAAGCGGCTGCACGCTGCATGGCGCCGTTTGCATGCACGCAATTATTGGTCGATGCACCCATCTGGGCGTGTATGCTCCTACGAGAGATGGGGTTCAGGTGCTTTGTTAAGAGGCACGCCCAGCAGCGGAGCAGAATCGCAATGAAGGTCCCCACGAGTAATGCGGCCATGCCAGACATGCTCGTCGCAGTCCGCAGCCCGCCGTGTCACATAATGCGTGTCTGTAGGGCGTCGCAGGCTCTCCATCAAACCTCATCGCGGCTCTGCATCACGCCCGGAGCTGCTCCAGGACAGAGTTGCCGCAGCCGCACTAAGCAGAAGCTGACTTGCCAACCGTTCGTGTGTGATCTAGACGGCGCTCAAGCAGCTCCACACCAGCCCCCATCCCATCTTCCCTCTTCCATCTCGTCGTCGTCGCATCCACATCGCCAACTGCCCGACGACCATCGCCGGCAGCCCTCGCCCACGGCGCATTCCCTCTGCTGTCGTCGCCGCGCTCCCTGCGCGCCCCACCGCCAGTGCCTGCTGCGTGCGGCCCATGGAGCAGCCTCTCCGCCGTTAACAAGCCCTTACGCGCTCCCGCCATGTTTCGCGATCCGGTCCTGCGGCGGTCCGTCGATGATGGGGAGGAGCATTCGCGAGGAGAAAGAAAGCCGCCAGGGCACCAAGGGGAACCTACGCCAGTGCCAGCAGCTTACCACAGATCGCCGACACAGGCAGGCCAACCATACCAACACCATTCGCCAAACACTCCAGCGCCCTTGCCTCTCCACCACGCCAGCCTTCACCACCCCCCATCCCATCAACTCCCTCGCCCTCCGCCGTCGCCCAGCACCACCGAGCTGCCGCCCATCAGCACGGCCCTCTATTCGCGCGACACGTCCAGATACTACGACCCGACTTCAGACAATGGAGACCGCGGCGTAGCACGGGACCCGGCGCGTTACGACATCAATACCCAGTATCCTCCTGCACAGGTGCGTCTTCCATCATATGTTTCATCTACCTCATGCCTCAGACATCATACTTCACGCCATCGCCATCCTCAACACTCAGGGACACGCGGCTAACCCACACCCCAGACGCAGACTCGGGCGGCACACAGCCCCTACGACAAGGTCTATCAATCACCCGTCACGACCTCGTACGCGCATCACTCGCCGCTGCAGCGCCCCCATTCGCAGCACCAGCACACCGGCGCCATGGAGGCCATGTCTCACTCGCCCGTGTCGCCATCGGTTTATCAGTCGATGAACCGAGGCGCCGTGCAGCCGCCCATCGACTACCCTAGGAGGCCATCCTACAAGGAAGAGGTAAGTGAACTCGCGACTTCCACTCTCACTCTGCTCACCACTGCCACAGGCGCCGCCACCAACGCGTGCCGATCCCATGTCGCTCTCCAGTATAATGTCCTCCGGAGCCGACAACGAGCCTCCGCCAAAGCCTCAGCCACTGCCGAACCTCGCTGCCGAACCTTACCAAACCTCAAAACCTCTGCACAATTCCCACTTCGTGAAGCAAGAAGCAATGGCGTCCCCGGCGCCCGCTGACCTACCCCATCAGGAAAACGGCTATGCCCCACGCGTATACGATGCTATGCCGCCGGTCGGCAGCCTCCAGGCCCCTTCACAGTCTGCGACTCGCGAGTTACCTGCGCCAGACGAAGCAGAGATCGAGGCTGCTCTCGCACACATTGAAACCAAGCAAATGAGCGACATTGACGAGTCGGCCACCCCGCACGATCTTGAAGACTATAAGCAAAGGAGCCAGAAGCGCGTCCTAGAGGTTGGAGCCGCCGAGGCGAACA